ATTGTGTAAATATTCCTCCAAAAATATTATTAATCATTTGACGTGTATCATTATCATTTTGAATAAATGTTTCTGAAGATTGACGAATAATCATAGAATCAGCACATACATAAATAAATGTTGGTAGTAATAATACAAATATGTGCATAAATAATATTACTTAGGGCTGACCAAAAGTTCGTAGAACGATGTTTAAATTTTTATAAAATACTTAACATCGAAAGATTTATTGCATGAATACTTAGAAAAATGTCTCGTCTATAATTCTAACCGTCTTTTAGACAAAGTCTATAGCACGGTGAACATACGAACATTCCTTGTCCAGGATTCGAGTATATTTCTGAATTTCGCATTTCTTCTTTCCTCCCTCATATGATATTTTCTGACGTCATATGCACTTAAATATTCCATGTAACAGTATAGATTGAGTGCAAAATCATTTATTGAGTTAGTTCATTCGATTCACTTACTTTTTTCGTGTGAATAAATCAGCATTTCCGATCGATACTTTGTATCAAATATCCTGAACCTGTGATAAAATCTGATTTGAATTTTTTTTTAAATCATTAAAATGGCCGATGAATTTAATCGATATTATATTAAAATTCCGACAATTCTGGAAATAGATGCAAAGACAATTTGCGAAGAACTTACAACAGCATTGGGACCTGATGCTCCAGCATATTCAACTGTTGCAAAATGGGCGAAACGTTTTCGTAAAGGGAGAGAGGATGTCAATGATGACTTTCGCTCTGGTCGTCCGATTTCGGTACTTACAGATGAAAATATCGAACAAGTTATCGAAGATGATCCGCATTCAACCTATGATGATATCATAGCCGAGACTTCCCTCTCTCATGGTACAATAGAATGGATCATTCATGACTGTTTAAAGATGAGAAAAGTTACACCACGTTGGGTTGCTCACAAACTCAGTGATGACCAAAAGCAACAACGACTTAGAGTCTGTTGTCAAAATCCAGCAAAATTTCAGACTGGGAAATGGAGATTATCTGATGTCATTACTGGTGATGAGACATGAATTTATCATAGACAGATTGGTCGAAAGTCAAGTAATACTACATGGATTACCGAAAATGAACCACCAAGGACCATTGTTCGTCGAAATAAATCTGAGCCCAAAACGTTGTTTTGTTTATTCTTTAAATCAAATGGTCTTATTCTTATACACAAAGTTGATAAAGGCATGACTATCGATCACAACTATTACATTAAAAATTGTCTCAGACCTATTATTAACGAAATACGAAAACAAGAAAAATCATCACGCACAAAATGCATCAGATTGCTTCACGATAATGGTCGTCCTCATATTCATCAGGATGTTATTGACTATTTAACAGAAGAAGGTATTGAAATAATACCACATCCATCATACTCACCTGATCTTACGCCCTGTGACTTTTGGCTCAATGATTACATCAAGATTAACTCGGCTAACCAAGAAAACGAAGAATCACTAGCTCAGGCGGTTTGCGAGATAGTGAACAATATTCCAGAAAAAGAGTTTAAAAAAACTTTTGACAAACTATTAAACCCCCGTCCACATTCGAAGCTCAGTGGGCTTTTATTATGCCCAGTGCTTCTAAAATGTCCCGCAAGAAAGGCAAAATTTTCTCAAAAAGTACCTTATGGGGGCAGCGACAATTTTCAAAAAATTTCTTACCAGACTGGGCTTCTAATGCGGGTGGACTTCTAATGTGAGGGGGGTTTAGAAAGAATGGAACTTTGTATAAATAATAATGGTGACTATTTTGAACATTTAATAAAATAAAGCTAAACTTAGATCATAGATAAGCTCTATCTAAAAGGCTGTTAGAATTATAGACGAGACATTTTACTAAGTATTCATGCAATAAATCTTTCGATGTTAAGTATTTTATAAAAATTTAAACATCGTTCTACGAACTTTTGGTCAGCCCTAAGTATATTGCATAAAAGTTTGAAATTGTTTCTTTTTATCATTTTGAATAAAAAAGTGTAAAAATGATAATAGTATTAATAAAATTGAAATCATTGTAATCCATTTCCCTACATTTTGCCAATTAGTAAAATCATGTTTCGCTTTTGTACTATCAATATATTTATCTGATAATCCATATCTTTCTTCATCAATACTAGAATCTAATATAAGTTTAAATGGTGATAAATTTATCGAACTATAAAATAGATAACTAAGTAAAATAACATTGACTTGGCATTTTTGTAAAAGGAAAGAAGGACATTTAAGTGATCAAGTAAAACTTATCGGAATCTTTGAACCCACACTCGTAACACCGTCTCTTAAGGCAACAAAATATAATACTTTCACACTAAGTGGAAAAGTGTCTAAAATGAAAAATTCTTCTGGCAACACTAGTTGCTCGTCACAACGAGTAACAGAGTCACGTTGTGTTACCCGATCACAAACAGGCTGTTTACCTGGACTTCGGACAACCTCAACCCTCAAACTAAGTATAATTGAGGAAACTGTCGAGCAACTTTGCTGTAAAAAAGTAATAATAGAAGAAAATATAACTCAGTTTATGTTGCAAAATCAGCTATCGGTAAGCATTACTCTAATACTGGACATGTGATTACAGGTAATAACTTTGAAATTGTTTTACGAGAAAAACAAAGGTATAAGTTGCTAGTTAAGGGATCGTTAGTCATTCGGGCCAGTTTACCCATGCTTAATGGTACTGATCATTCGGTACCACTGTACGTGTATTCTGAAGGGGTGATATCAAATCTCTGGGATAGAAAAAGAATTCCTAGGAAAGGTGTTGGAGGCTAGTACAGTATTATCTCTCTCATATACTTCAATTCAATTTTTCTTCAGTAGGTTTTATCTTTACACGACTCAACACTAGCGTTTTAAAATTTCTTTTCAATTCAACCTATTCTCTATATAAAAATAAAATGTACAGTTAATAAAATTCTTCATATATCGTAATCTCGTTCTCTTTCTTTCTTCTCTCCTCGTCACGCACATGCAATTTCAGTCTTTTTTGTATGTGTGTGCCTAGATTAGAATAACACTAGATATATATATAATACGTTTCTTACGAGAATAAATGACTAATAAAAATATTAATAGAATGAAGCAAATTATACAACCAACAACTGTACCTGTAAGTATTCCGAATGATCTAGGAATAGTATAGGGTGTATTCAAACAACAATTAGCATTCCAAAGTTCTTCTATAGATAATAGTGACGTCCCTAATAGTGTTGTATTGGTGGTTATACTTATGAGCAAACAAGTATTTAAACATGCTAACTCCACAGTATTCAAATCACATCCACTACAATTACTAATACAAAATGCTTTAATAGTGTAACAATTGGGATAATCTCTTATTTGTGCAGCTGAACAAGACAGACGATAAACTATGTTCACATTCAGAGCAATATTCTGAAGGATGTGATTGATTTAATAGAAGAGAAGGTAATGAATTTGCTGTTGGTATAATATTAGATCCTAAATTCATTATATTCATTAAATATATTCCAATATTATCGATATTCATATTATTCCAACCACATTTTAATATTGAACTACCAACATTTGGATATGTTAATAAAAAAAACATTATTAAGTTTAGCTAAATTAAAATCTAATTCAGGAATAATTGTTTTTGTCGATTTTGTATTAACAGTGCATGTTTTTAGTTTATCATTGTTATTATCATCATTCATCCATAAAGTCATACGTAATGAAAATGTTCTGTTATAACTGGAAATATATTTACCTATTAAACATTCTTGTGTATAAATTGGATTTTGTTTAATATCAATATAAAATTCTTGTTGAAATTGACATTGTTCACATTTTGAATCTGAACACATAAAATTGATTGCTAATATAATACCAGTTACTGAATCTTGTAACAGACTATAGTATGCTAAATTAGATGAAAAACTCGTTGTATTCATACATTGTGCAGAAACATAATTCAATGTACTATGGTGATGTTTTGTAATTATTGTAGTTTTCAAATATGAAGTTGTAAGTAATGCATAAAGAGACATTTGCAAACCAGATCGAGCAATACTACGATTCGTATTTTGAATATTATCATATTCTGATTCATACATTAATAAATAAATGCCTAAAGGATATGTTGATCGAATGTTATCTACAAATAATGTTTTGTCTATATTATCAAATAATTGTACAGGATTAGCATGAACAATTTTGCTACATGATTTACTGTATCTACTTGTATTCATGGAATCGATTTGTTTATAGTTTGACTGTGTATGCTTCGTAACATCAAAATGCAGAATTTCATTACTAGTAATATCAATATATCCATAGCCAACATTTTGAGATTGTGAATTATTTAGAATTAAATAATTAAATAGATGTGAGCTTGGATGAGGAAAATAGGGAACAACTTCTACTGGTAATAATAATGGATGCTTCAATAATATAGGATTAATTATTGACACTGATCGCACTAGTATGTGTTTTATTAATGCTTGTCCAATTGATGGTGGTAATGGTAATGGTAGTCTTTCTATAGTTATATTTAATGTTTCACTATTAACTGCTGTAGCTTGTACATATAAACCAGGACGAAAATTTAGTACTGTCATTAACATTGTACTATTCATTTCAATATTAGTTATAGAGCCTACAAGAAATGGTACTGCATATGTTTCTATTTCAGATTGTGGTACTATACACGAACTATTGTTACTATCAAATGTTGAATTAGTACAATTAAAACGATTAAATTGACATGTAATATCAATAGAAACATAATCGATATGTATTAATGTTTGATCTTTATTAAATGGTATTAAAATTTTTAAATCACGCTAGTGTAAATTTTCATTTAAAAACACATCCTCTATTGTATCGTTTCCATTACTTTGAAATGTACCTATTAGTTCAGATGCCCTTGCTATAGCATTCATTACATTTGTTCCAATACATAGGCAAGCTAATGTTAATAATAATCCAGGACTTGGCCAATCACAATGGAGGATATAATAAATTTCGCTCTTGATCATGATCTTCATAAATTAACCATTGTTGTGTACGAAGTTCTAATGCATATACAACTACTGAAATATATGCTCTAATATCTTGAGTGTTACGCAATGTAGCTGATGTTATTAAATATCGAATAGCAATTCCATAATATGGAGCATATATGCCACTAGCTGAAACTGATTTCATGCCACTATTAACTTGTTCTTGAATAAGATTTTATACTTTTATAATGATATCACCCGTATCCATATTCCAAAATGTTTTAAGTATTGTACAAAATGTATCATCACACTTACAACCACCATAGTTTATCGGACCTGGATACGATAATATCACTGTTGGATTAAATACGACACCAGCATTCGTATCATCTATTTCAATTTTATTTGTATATGTAAAATTGTATCAACCCATACTTGACTATTATCACACAGTGTATCACTGTAACAGCACCAATCGACAAACCATTCTAGGCTACATACATATTCACGAAAATGAACTTGACTTATCATATTTATGTAAAGTGTAGCATCAATTTGAAGATGATTGTCATCAGCTATTGTTAATATCATCATTCAATAGTTGTATAGAGTTAGTAGCAGTTGATAATTTTATATACCAATCCTCACGATGAATTACACCTAGATTGTTTTGACGTTTATCGTCTTCATCTTTACTACAACAACCCGATGGATGTGCTTGATCATTTAATTGATAGTTCTGAATAAACGTCATAGCGTCATCAATCAACTTATGAAAAACTGTGGCCGCTAATTGCAGAGCACGCTGGGTGCACAATGCTGTGGAACCAGATATGTAAGCCTGTAGTGGTATAGAAAATAGCAATGGATCAGGAAGTAAAGTTAGTCTGATATTACAATACTGATTAGTTTTCCACTATTAAAAATAATTATCATTCAGTAAATAAGCAGTTTTAATCTCATTAATAACATTATTTGGAAACAACAAATAATTTTTTACTGGTTATGGAGTTAAAATTGATGATATTACTACTACAGATTGTGGCAGATCGCATACTCTATGACTATAATTAAGAAGTGCAAAACATATATGCAAGCTATCGAAAAGTTGAGAGAATTTGTTTGGTATGTCTGGAAACTTGTGTACCTGTATAATTAGACTTGCTCTACAAACTGGTTATATCAGAGCCTCTTCGCTCACCTATCTGCGGTGGATCGCCATAGACCTGGTTACTGGGGATCCATACGGCTTGTCGAGTTAACAGTCTCCTATTTTCTTTCATTTCAAAAAATTATGGCAAAAAAGCTATAAGCTAATCTAGAATTGTAACTAGATGATTAAGTAGATTAAGCATTTGTCTACAAAATGAAAAGTGTCTCAGCTGTGAACGTTGATTCATTATGAAAATATAACTGTTGTACATACAGCCGAAAACATCGATTTTGGGGTTATCTGAAAAACGTGTCTAAAAGAGTGAAGACGAGCATGCGAAAATTGAACAAGTATACGAATTTGTACAAAAATTATTTGCTCTAAAAGATGTGATAGCTTGTTAAGTTCGAAACTATTCGGCCTGGCCAGCTAACTCTACCTGCGTACGTAATTCCGTGACGTTTTTCTATGATTTTGTTTTATTTGCAGAAATTTTTGAAAAAGTCAGAACTCAAAAGTAAATAAACCATTTTGTAGACAA